ACCACCACAACCACCACCACCACAACCACCACCACAACCACCACCACCACCCCACCACCACCACCACCACCCACTACCACCACCACCACAAAACAACAAACAATGTTGGTAATGAAGCAAGCGTTCTGTCATTATTCAGTGACTCCCATTTGCTCGTCAAATGAGCATTAATTATTAATAACCCAATTATTAGTTGTTAGCGCCGTTGACGCTTTTATTTGACTGATGATGCGCTAAGTTGTTGGTGCGTATTGATGAGTAAACATTGGCTCAAACGATTATGCAGACGCACGCACGCACGCACGCACGCACACACACACACCACCACACACACACACACACACACACACACACACACACACACACACACACACACACACACACACACACCACACCCACACACACACACACACGGCCTCGCAGCTAAGCGGACACCGTTCGGGGGTCGTAGTCCTAAGGGTCTGGGTTCGATTCCCAGCCTAGGCAGAAACAAATGGGAAGAGTTTCTTTCATCTAATTCCCCCCCCCCCCCCCTCTCTTCACCTATCAGTAAATAGCTACCAAGGAGTTGGACAGCTCCTGGTGGCTCCATCCTGGGAATGTGTGTGTTTGTGAGAGATAAAAATATATGTATTAGAGATGATAAAGGAAAATAGGTCGGGGGGTCAATACATTATACACCAGACGTGAGAAAGGTGGGTCCCAGGAGCTAACAGCTCGATCCTGCAGGCACAACTAGTAAATACACACCCACCTCAAGCCCTTATTAAACTTCTCGGCTCTGATACTGTCTGGAATTTATGCAATTTGAAGTATGAAGTAAATTTACGTAACACTATGAATCTATGTGGAATAAGAATACCTGTCCAAGGTTGGAGGCAGATACTAGGGTTTGATTAATATTGTGCAGGTGACTTATCGCAGGTGTCATAGGCAGTTGTTGTTGTTAAAGATTCGCTACCTGGAACAAAGTTCCAAGTAGCACGGGCTATGGTGAGCCCGTATCATAGGCAGTGTCGGCATAAGCTTAAGGCCTAAGCTAGTGTGGGGCCCATTGCTGCCCTGAAATGGGGCAAGGCCGCAATGCGCCCTTTTCACTTAGTCTGTGGTTGTAAAACGTTCACCTCCAATTCCATAGACCATTTGGTTACAGTAATGGAGATGGTGTGTAGAGAACTGTAACCATCACATGGTTACAGTGATGGGGAGACAAGGTGGGGGGGTGGATGGGGTGAATGTGGGGAGAGACAGGTGAGGGTAGGGTGAAGAGGGACCGTGGGGGTTGGGGGGGTGTTTGGGAAGGGAGATGGGATGGTGTGGATAGGGGGATTGGGAGGGTTGTGTGGAAGGAAAATGGATGGGTGTACGAGGGAGATGGGTGGGGGAGGGGGAGTTATGGAGAGAGAGAGAGAGAGAGAGAGAGAGAGAGAGAGAGAGAGAGAGAGAGAGAGAGAGAGAGAGAGAGAGAGAGAGAGAGAGAGAGAGAGAGAGAGGAGGGTATGTGGGCATGACCTGGATAACAGGTATACTCGGGCACCGCCTGATATGCTATTAATAAATCTATATCTATAAACTAAAATGTCTGTTTGCCCGAGATTGAATGCCAGACGCTCGGGGCTAGTCTCACCTAACTTTCCAAGATGAATCATGTGGGGTATGGGAATGTCATGACCAGTCGGTGTCGGCCCAAGTGAAATACTTTAAGAAATAGCGTCATTTAAAGACCCGCGTGCGAGTTTCATGAAGTCTGAAATATTGCTTTTGTTTACCAGTTTCGGTGCTTTCGTAATAATACATTTCCTGAGAGAGTTAAGACGGAGGAAGAGGAGAGGACGAGAGAGTAAAGAGACCCGGGCGCCCCCGGGTACCCATTCTGGTATTAATAGAAAACAAAAGCAGGAATCCTGGTTGTATGCAAATCAACCCTTAGCGCCTCATATATCAAGAAAAATACTCCATGAAAGTGGAGGAGGCATCATTCCTTACTGTGATGGGACTCTCAGAGCTCTGATAAAATCAGGTGATGGGTGATCAGGTGTAATTGCCGAGATTTCGTTATCTTTTCGCTGTTAATTGTGAAATAATACTTTTATTTACATACATATTATATATATATATATATATATATATATATATATATATATATATATATATATATATATATATATATATATATATATATATAAACAAAAGGAAGTAAAGATAATTAAGTGAATATAATATGCAACTAGACAAATAAGTAAACAATATTTTCAAATCAATGTGTATACACAGCTGGCGGTCTGGTGTATGACCCTTCTGTCTTGTGTATTTCTTAGTTCACTAAAGTTCTCTCAAATTCCTCTGTATTTTAAGTGCGTATTATATTCACCGTGTTCTTCCGTCAGTATAGTGCGAGTCAGCGTTTGATTGTTTCGTTAAGTAGGTTCGCGTTGTGGTTAGAGCGAGGAATTAGGGGGCATGAGAAAGGTGTCTGATTCTATGTGCTTCCCGCCCATTGATCGTCAATTGTTCGCAACGGTGTGTTTTGCCACAGGAGTTTCTCGCCCTTATACCCCCTCGGCGGAAGGCCCCGCCGTCTGGCGAATAAAAACTAGCGCGCCCCGAACCAATTTGAGCGTCGGCAAGCAATAATGGTGGCAAAAGATAATTAGCCAGAGGCATTGATCAAGAGGAAATAGAATGGGTTGCAGATCCACGACCCTTTAGCTCTTCTCGCTGGGCCAGGACAGACGGGCAGAATAGTATCAGCAGATGTTTTGAAAGTGGAATGTTGGTAAGAAGAGGTATCTTCAATGTATCGTCACATTGTCTATAACCTCCCGCCCTATGACCCTCAGGGTTTGTCTTGACGGCCCTGATGCACGCACAGGCGCGCACGCACACACACGCACAATCACTCCCAACAAGTGTAAAGTAATGACATTTGTGATGGGAGTCGGAGTGACGATACATGACAAGTAAGAAGGTTAACACAAGACACAGATACAAGTACGAGGACCAGGAAGTGCCAATACCAGCACTAACCCCAAAAGTCTACGTGAATCACGAACCTAAGCCACTGAGGTTAAGCGCTTAGAAAGCGCTAAGCCAGTATGACTAAGGAGCACATGGGAGGGGATGTGGGAACGAAGGAACGGTGCCCCGGAGCTGAAGCTTATTCCTGCGAATTGTTAGGTAGTTACACTGCATTGTAATGTATGTACGTACTTATACTCACACTACACAATGTACACATATTCACACCCTACACCAGGTACACAAATACACACCCCGAATTAACCCCAACACCTGTTATCCC